CCATCCATCTATCCATCCATCCATCTATCCATCCATCCATCCATCCATCCATTTATCCATCCATCCATCCATCCATCCATCCATCCTTTCCTTCTTATTCGCCTCCCTTATCACTGCTATCCTTTTCAGGTCTGCTGGCACTGCTCTCGAACCCTGCCGTCAGCTTTGGATGGTGAACTTAAATTGGGTCCAAGAGACAGCGAGAACGAGTACATCTATCCGCGTAGTCCATTGCCTCCGGTTTCTTCTGCCCCAAGCCATGCAGCCGTCCGAGGACGCAAGCTGCAGGCGGGTCGCAGCTATCTGGGCGTCATGGAGGCTGAACAACAGGACGTTGGTCTGGAGACTACACGAATCCCAATGAAAAGTGTGTCAGTACAAGCCGTCGAGCCTGTAGTGGCTGCGCATGCCGATCAGAGATGGCCTAGAGACGCCTCTGAAGATGCGCCGTATACACATTCGAGCAGACGGCAAACTCGCAGAAAGCGGATTCAAGTGGGCTGGCCGAGTCCATCTCTTGCCTTTGAGGGTTCTCTTGTAGGTGCTTGTCAGGATGCCGCTTGCCAGGTGAAAATAGAAAGAATTTATGTTAAACACAATAGATAAGTGAGCAAGTGGGAATTCGAATAAAAAATAGTATGGGCTGAGCCCACATACATTTCCAGTTAAAGTGTGTCAATGAAGAGAAGTGAAGGTCGATCCCAATTGAAGACGATGGCGGATATATTTTGCCACACGTCGGTTGGCTTTACTGGAATATTCTTGTTAGCGAGAGCTTCATTTCGAATTAAAGTGCATGAAGAAGAGATTCGCAGTTTCACTTTTATACGATGTTCATGTTGACGCAATTTCGGGTGAAAACGTGCTGAGCTTTCGTCCATCAAATGATCGACCTCATCAGTACTGGGTGTCATTCTTGTGAAAGTCTCACGTTAACACTAAAGCAGGAAACATTTCCAGGCTCTATCTTACTTCATATATAGACTCAATCGAGTTGAGTAGGAATTATTTTTGCTTGATTGATAGATTGAAAGAGAGAGAGGGTGTAGAGCCATCTTCAAAAAGAAAGGCGACTCAATTTTTCTGCTCAGTGATGCTTCTAATTTCACTCACATTCGCCCAAAATGTTAATTTAAGCTCTTCAAACAAACCAAACATGTCAGATTAAGCAACCACTGTCTTGTCTTTACTTGGAGGGTTAAACGTTAATGACCCTTGACCGAAAGGTTAGGAAAAATGGTTTCGTAACTTGATTATTATGCTTACAAACTCATATTTCATTATCCCAACAATACTTATCTACGGACCTAGGCAGTCTTAGTCAAAGATTTTCTCTTGGGTTATTAGGCCTTAAGGATCAGAACAGGAGATTTAATTTTTGACAAGTCTGCTTTAGGAACCGTATTGCATATAGACGCTAACACGCACAAATTCACATAATCATACAATCGAGCAAAAATAAAAGAGCCAGTATGAAAAAAAATAAACTAAACCCCATTTATCTAGATTTTTAATTTTTAATCTTTTGACTAGATTGAGTCTATATAAGAAGTAAGATAGAGCCGTATAGTGTTTTTGCTTTAGGGTTAATGTGAGACTTTAACAAGAATGACACCCAGATCTGATGATGTCCACCAAATGGTGAAAGAAAGCTCAACAAGTTTTCACTCGAAACATCGTATAGAAGCCAGACGGCTGAAGTACAACTAGTTTCATCGACCAACGAATCTCTTCTTCATGCACTTTCATTCGAAATGAAGGTCCCCCTAACAATGTTATCTCAGGAGATTCATCGAAACCAAGTTTCTATTTGTATCTATCATTTTTGTCTTCCCCAATCTTTGTCAATTAGGCCGGCATGTCTGACCAGCATAAGGCCGAACACAGAGCACACAATCTTGTAGCAACCGGATCTCGATAATGGGTCATATTTCTCTCTAAAGATGGCATAACAGAAGAAAGTGTGAGAGTTTCTTTAAACACTGTTTATATCCCCCACTTTTTCACTAATTCACCAATCTTCTTAAAAGAAGGCATGGCAGCAAAATTAGGTCATGAAGAAGGTCTCAGCTTGTCTATCTTTGATTTAATAGTCCTCGTCCGAAAATTTATTCCTCAGTAAAGAGATA